CCCATATGCAGTATCATATCGTTTAAAATCTGTATGGATTTAAACCTCTGTTCACCTCCATGTTTGCTTTCCTCTCACCTTAAAGTGGTTTAAAAGTGGTTTAGCGAGTCTCATTGAGCTCTTTGTTCTCACTCTTTTGGGGTCTTTGGGGTTTGGAGTGAGCAGGAAAAGGAAACATGGAGATTCTGATGGTCTGTAAATGCAACATAATCCCCCCCCCCATCGATTAAAGTGTGGGGTTTTAACCTGGCGGCTGCTTTTAGGAGAAAGATGAAAATATTTCACTATCCTGGCTGACTCATGTGGGCAGTGGCCCTCAAAGTGGACACTTGGACACCAGTGGCCAGAGAAAAACCACTGCCCAGTTTGTTTGTTTTTTGTTTTTTGTTTTTTTTTTCGACATTTTTATGTAAATATATTTTTTTCTATTTTATTTTTTAATAAACATTTTAAAATTGCCAGTCTGTGTTTTGTTTCTTTAATATGACTGTAAAGACATCATATCCTATTAGAAATACTTTTAAAATCCCTAATGGAAAATTATACATTTTATATATATATATATATATATATATGTATTATATATATTGTTATATATTATTGAGAAATTATGTATTTAGCGAAATGGGGAAATATTTAAAATAATAATATGAATATAATATTTAATAAAAGGGGGGGAAAAGGTAATCAACTCAAAAGCAAACCTCCAGCACACAGTGTTGTTTCATCATTTAAAAAGTAATTTTTCATTAGTAAAAATATTAAGGATCCAAGTTTCCACTAGTAAAACGGTCTGTTCATCTGTGTTGCCTTTTCTATTCGGTTTGTTTCCCCAAGTAGCCTTTCTCCGAAAATTACATTTCTTTTTCCTAATCCAATTAAAATATCCAATTAATTGAAATTGCTTGTATGTATTCAGATCAACATTCCCAAATGCACTTAAACGTTTTGTTCTAATGAACACACCCGACAACTCTGAAGACTCACCAGTGGGACTGTAGTGTGAAAAGAAACAGGAAAAAAGTTAAATCTGTGCTATAGAAATCCAATTTAATTAGTTAAACTAACTGCAAAATCCCTGATTACAGAGAGAAGTATTTTCCACGATATTATGTGAACAGCCCATCCATGTTTAAAATGGTTTCATTATTTCAGTCTGGAAAAAAGAAAATCATTTGTGAGTTGGGTCTCTTTTGAAATGGGTCCTCCCATTATATCCATGATGTTATAGTTTTAATGTATATGCGTTACTTTGTTCTGTTATATTTATTGTTTGTGCTCCAAACCATATACAGTGGGGGAAATAAGTATTTGACCCCTTGCTGATTTAGCAGGTTTGCCCACTTACAAAGAATGCAACGATCTATAACTTTAATCATATGTACATTCTAACAGTGAAAGACAGAATCCCAAAGAAAATTCCAGAAAATCACATCATATGAATTTATAAAAACTGATAACCATCTGATGAGGAAAAATAAGCATTCTTTGTAAGTGGGCAAACCTGCAAAATCAGCAAGGGCTCAAATACTTATTTCCCCCACTGTATATGGTCATGAGCAATTAAATGAAATGATTTAATTGAATTTAACTGAAAATTGGAAGCTCCAGACACCCCCAGGTCCACTGTCTAACTAAACGGAGCCATTCAGTTGTCTGATGAGCCAAAGATATATTTTGGAATAAATATCTAATTTCTTTTTAAACTGGTCAGGTTTTCTCAGGTTGTTCTGAAACCCGATTTAATCTCCATTTGCCTCTTTTGGCTCTGATATTCTGATATTCCACCTCCAGCCTGCAGTCCTGCTGCTTTTCTCTGGGAGGAGCACTCGCACCACCGAGCAGCCGCCTGACTCCCGAAAACTCAAACCAAAAAACAAAAACAGAGTTTTCACATTGCCGGGTTATGTCGACGAGTCTGGACAGTTTCTGAAATGTTTTGCGTCTGACACCTTTTGCATAATTTAATAGTAAAAACTTTGCTCAAAATCCTGTTTTTTTTAATTGTTTTTTTATTTTATTTTTATTCATTTATATATTTATTTATATATTTATTTATTTATATATTTATATATTTATATATATATATTTTTTCTTTTTATTTATTTTATTTTATTTTATTTATTTTTTTATTATTATTATTTTTTTATTGTACACAATCAGATACACCTGATAACAGGGGGCAGAAGAATACACAAAAAACAATCTTGACTTATCGCATAGTAATAAATTATTAATATCACAAAAGTATTTCTGTTTTTTCTTTTTACATATTTTGTTAAAAGGCCAAATAAAGACTTCAAACAAAAAAATAATGATTTTCTGTTTTGTTTCATTCTTGGGGTTAAGAGACCTTGAAGATAACCCTGGCTAGCAACTTGTTGAGGAAGATTAAAAAGGGTAAAAATGCTATTGTGTTTGAAGTGGGAAGCCTCTGACTGAGAAAGAGGGTGAGACTCATAATCAGAATTAGTATTATTAAAGTATTTCTGATTCTGATTCTGACTCATGGATGAGTGTGCAAAGCCTATATGAGACTAAATAATCAACAAGGCTGGAAGGGGGAATATGGGGAGATGAGAATAGAGACCTGAGCTCTCTCAGGCTGCAGTAAGAATAAAGAACACTGATATAGATATATCTATCTATCTATCTATCTATCTATCTATCTATCTATCTATCTAT